TGTGCATTTTAAGCAAGCTATATGTTGTTTTTGAATTAGCATATTTATATGGCCTTGTTTTCCTATCTAGGCATACAGGAAGAATATTGTTTTGATTATCCTGATTTCTCATTCTTGCCAGTTGTTTCCAAAGATCTCAAAACTCCTAGGGCAAAAAGTGTAGGAATTCATATTATGATACATCTTTAGATACTTGAGAACATGTCTATATATAATCTTATCTTTGAAGGCTGATCATATTTACGTTTTCACCTACTGCTCCTAATTGTTCACAGTATCAAATCAACTGGAAATAATTTGCATATAATTACATATAATGATTAGCTAATGATACATATATATATATATATATATATATTTAAATGAGTTAAGGCTGTTGTTGGTAATAAACCATGATATTATTTTCTCAATCCTAGAGTTTAGGAAGGCACCAAATGTCTTTCATAGTTTTGAAAAGGCTGAGTGGGGGCGGCTGGAGAGATGGCCCAGCAATTAAGAGCGTTGTCTACTCTTCAAGAGGTCTTGAATTCAATTCCCAGACAGAACGTGGTGGCTGACAACCACCTGTAATGGGGTCTGGTGCTCTCTTCTGTCATGCAGGCATGCATGTAATCAATGTGCTTATACGTGTAAATAAATATATCTTTGAAAAAAAGGCTGAGTGGGGATAGAAACAGCTCATTGATCTCTAGCCATTTCTTAATATTGAGTATGTAAAGCTCTGATAGGGTATGGTACTGTGAGACTCAGTGTTTGACATATTTATACAGTTGTTTTTTTTTTTTAAATCAACAATTTAGATCTTCTCACACACATATAGTTATCAGATGTATTCATGGTGCTTAATGTGGACTATCTCCTGAAGCTGCATTGAGATTCAGAAGTTAAAGTACCATCAAACATATACTAAATGTAAAAGTAAAAGTAAAATAAATAAATAAAAACTTTTCAAAAGTATTTGAAACAACAAGTACTTTAGAAAACACCTCCACATCTGTGAAACAGAACTGGCTTCCCAGCAGTTATCTATGACAAAGTGTTGGACGTCAATATATGCTTTTAGGCAGAGCCACCAGAATAATAAGTACTAGTATAATAGGCTAAGAAACATACTTAGGCCACTTAATATATGGTGTTCATGGCACATTGAGGGTAAGATACTTTGTGGTAGAATGTTATAAATTAGGAGTTTCCAAAGAAATACAGAAGTTAAGCACAGAAAACCATACAAAGGGGAAAATCATTGAAATAAATTTAAACCATTGCCCTGTGCAAGAGAAGATCTCTTTTATAATTATTTTTTAAATATTGAAAGCTTGTCTGTACAATATGGTTAAACATAGCATCATTCCAAAGGTCATTGAGTGGGAATAATGTGGGAGAAGTCTTCATACAGTTTAAAGAAGACTTATTAAGCGTATAGTGCTGTCCTGAGATAAACTAATTTAGGAAGTTAGAATTAAAGCAATATATAAGATCATCATCTGTTTTAACAGATAATCTGGCAAGGCCTCTATAAGGAGATATTTGGGTTTTGAGTACTAAATTTTGAGAAGCTAGATAAGTGAAGAGACAAATGAGTATAGGCTCTATGTAGGAGATAGAATGCTGAACCAGTGAGTAAGACTGAATTATTTTTAAAAAAGATTTATTTCTAATTATGTGTACATGTGTTTGTTTGTGTTTGTTTCTGTATTTGCACATGAGTGGAGGTGCCTATCAAGGGTCAAGGTGTTGGATGCTCTAGATATGGAGTTAAAGGTGGCTGTGAGAGCTGCCTGATGTAGATGCTAGGAATGGAACTCAGGACCTCTGCAGAAACGGGACACTGTCTTAACTGCTGAGCCATCTCTACAGCCCAAGACTGCTGGTGTACTTGAACACAATTAATGCCTGTGTCGATAGAAATCAAGAGAAAAAATTAATAGACAGGAAAGAAATCAGAAAGGTAGCTAGGAAGCAGGTCGTCATTGATTTGTGTGGGAACTAAGGAATGTGAGTTTTACTATAGAAGCGGAAGGCACATGAACAAGGGTGGCACTGGGGTAAATTTTGATTTCAAAAGTTTTTGTTTTTTTACTTGCTTTATATAGAATTGTTTCTCTGGCTAGTACAGTGGTTTATAAAAAAGGTGAAAAATACAGAGAGAGAATACATAGAAATAATTGGGAAATATTTTGGAGATAGAAGCAATACAACTTGATAATTTTAACCCATCAGCCACACCTGACAAAAATAGTTTTTGAGGTACTTTCCAAACAAGTGTTTGACCTTTTATCCCTTGCTCTTTTTTTCCACCTTCCCCCAAGCCCCTGGCTTCTCATCTTTCCTGCCTCTGAATACTGGAATGCTTACAAGGTGAAGATTCATATCCATTTCTTCCTTCCTTCCTTCCTTCCTTCCTTCCTTCCTTCCTTCCTTCTTTCCTTCCTTCCTTCCTTTTCCTTTCCTGTCCCTGTCCTGTTGTCCTGTCCTTTTTCCTTTCCTTTCCTTTTTTCTTCTTTCCTTTCTTCAGGGTTCTCTGTGTAGCCTTAGGTATCCTGGAAGTCACTCTATAGACCAGGCTAGCCCAAAACACTGAGATCCACCTGCCTCTGCCTCCCAGGTGCTGGGATTAAAGACATGCACCATTTCCCAGCCCCACCACTGTCATTAACCTCATGGTACTAAATACTGTTGTATCTCCACGCTAAAGTGCTCTTAAAGCTCCCGTCTGCTTGCCCAGCCCCTTTTAGGTACATCTTAAATAACTGCACTATCTCAATACCTAGATTGTTCTAGATTAGTCAGTGGCAACTCTAATCTCTCAGTGACTCTGATTTACAAGCTCTGGAGTCATTCTTGACTATTTTCTTTTTCAATATTTCATATCTTAGCTCAGTTCCAAATAACAAATAGAGTTTACTAATCTTTCTTTCTTGGTATATTTGGAAGCCAGCCACCTCTTCCATTCTGGTCCAAGACATTATTACTTCCCTTGGATCATTGTTAGAGTCTTCTGAGTGCATTCTGTTTCCTGTTTTGTATCCTCTCACCCTCATCTTTTCTCAGCACAGTTTTCAGTTAAAAATTTTTTCTTTTGTATCTCTCAGAGGAAAAGCCATCACCTAGAAGGAAAAGATTATCTTGGCATACAGACTATTGTAAACACTAAGTTGAACATGTAGGAAAGACGGTATATCACAAAGAATAAGGCCTTTTAAAAGAAAAGAAGTCTTCTTATGCCTCAGCTATCTGCCCAAGCACTTGCTGTAGAATTTTATTACCAAAGTCTTGTATTGTAAGTGCCTGTTATCTATAGGACATTTGAAGTGTCTTATTTACTTTAACTATTTTTGTAGACAAGCCCCCCCCTACTCATGTGATATTGTAATATCAAACTCAAATTTAAAATAAGAAATTTCTAAGCTGGAAAAGTTTTCTTCTTACCCATTACCTTCTTTATTTTGTTTTCTACTTCCCAATGAAGGGAATAATTTCTCTACATTATGTAAAGACTGTTGGATGGGGAATTACCAAAGCAGTGAGTTTTATACCCTGAGTGAACATAATAATAAAATTTGACATTAAATTTAGAAAATTTGTGAAACGAAAATTAGTCACAGAGAAATAGTAGATTAGATATTATAAACTGGCTTAGTGGTGCACACCTTTAATCCTCTGACTTGGGGACTCAGAGGCAGGCCGATCTCAGTGAGTTCGAGTCCAGCCTTGTCTGCAAAGCGAGTCCAGGACATGCAAGTCTACACAAAGAAACCCAAACAAACAAAAAAAAAATGATTAAATTTTATGTTAGGAATGTAATTGTGGATCTATGTATTAGGTATATCTTCTGGAAATATTTCTTACCGCCTTTTCTTAGGCCTAGGAAATAAAATAGAAGCTCTTTATAAATATATATAAATAAATATAATCTATTTAAAAATAAAACATTTATGGCTTTTACTCTTACATTTATAACAGTGACACAGTGTTGCACATATGTATGTATTATAAATATAAATATGTGTGTCCTTGTTTGTGCATGTGTCCATGTGTGCATGTGGTCCTGGGTGTGGCACAGCCCATGCATGGATGTCAAATGACAACTTTTGGAGTTGGGATTTGGTTCCTTCCTTCTACCATGTGCATTACAAGGAACTGTGCTCAGGTCAGCAGGCTTGGCAGCAGGCACCTTTCTTTACTTGCTGAGCCATCTCACCAGTACTGGCCATTGGATTTTTGAGATGGGTCTTGCTATTTCATTCCA